GAGCCCACCCCCACATAAAAATAAAATAAATGAATAAATAAAACAGAAAAAACAGTGATCAGGGCCATAGATCTGTACTGTACCAACCTTGGTCACACCTGAACTTCATCTATCTGTCTCTCACTTATAAGCTCCCTCCCCACCACCCCTACTCACCCACTTCAGTGCCCAGATTCTTACTTTCTTTTATTCTATCTCTTGGTTCACTTGATTGTCACACCTTCTCTGCCAATCTACTATTTTATTTCCTGTCTCATGCTTTGTCTTTGTCCTCCCATCTCAGATTATTCATGCTGGGTCCTCAGTTAGCAGAGTTCTACTGGTTTAAACTTAAGACTTCTTTTTCTAACTATACAGTCCCCCTCCCGGCCTCCTAGCTCATAGGGCATTATATAGGATATCAAAAATAAATTGCACTCTGTATTTTTGAAAGTCTTTTTGTATGATACTGCTGTATCGCACTGTTGAACAGTAAGTGTTGCCCCAGGTTCTCTAGAAAGGGTGAGAAATGGATGTGGCTGGAGAGTAGGGAAAAGATAAAAGTAGACCAGAGAGCCAGAAATCTAACCCCAGTGAAATTCTGCAAAGATTATTAAACTTTGGACTTGAGATCATTAGCAAAGGATGAAGTTATTGAGACAGCATAAATTCAGTGAAAACAAAGCAAATTATTTCTTTTCCTATTTTGATAGGTTGGTTAGGCAGTAGCAAGCTTGGTGTAAAAGGTAAGAACATAGGACATTGGTAATAGTCCAGGAAAGGAAATGGTGAAGTGATTAAACAGCCAAGCCCACATAATTTAAATATCGGATCCCTTTCAGATAGAAGTCATAGTGTTTGTCCACAGCATTGTTGTCCTTGGTCCTGGACTTTGAATGACACCTATTTATAGCTGATAGTATGCTAATCTGATGTGTAGAAGATTTAAAGCTAGGAAGAACAGTTAATGTGCCAGATAACAAACACAACTTGAAAATACTTTAATCACCTATAAAAAAAAAAAAATGGGCCCAAACTAACAAATTCAAACTAAGCAAACAAATTAAAACTTCTAGTTCCTCATTCCTTGGTTCTAAACTTTATATCAAACAGAAATATTGACTGATCTCTATTTTTTAAAAATACTTTTGATTATCCCAAACAAATAATCAATTGGCAAAGATGTGACTATGGAATTCTATAGTCTTTCACAACATTATTTTTGAGAACATACATTTAAATCAAATGTATTATCTCTACTTTAAAAAATTTAGCATCATTTTCTCCACAAACACATTTACACATAAACATTTCCACAAATCAGGGGTGGCTAAAGTAGATCATTCGACCTCTGTATATCCACACCCCGCTTGGAATAATGAATGTAGGTTCCCGAACCTCCACAGATGTGTGTCCAGGAGGGACTAGACTGGCCATATGTGCTTTACGATTATGTATGCCCTTCAGTGAACTCCAAGCTCCAGGATGTGTGCTTGAGGGTATTTATACGCTGGTAATACTACCTGGAAGCTTTGAGTTTTAAACAAATGTCCACATTTTCAGGCACATAGAATAATGATTCCTTTTCT